TCCCCCAGCCTCTGAGCTGGGGCAGAGATAGGAGCTGGCAGGACTCCCATAGGGGGACTGGATCGCTCAACCTTCCCATGCTGGGGTCTCCCTGTGACCTGAGGGGGCTCAGCTGCCATTTTGGGAAAGCCAAGAGGGGCTGAGTTGTTTTTCTTCAGTGGGCTGGAAGGATACAGCACTGGGAGTGTGCAGGGAGGTGGTCACTCACCAGGGTGATGTGGTGGTTCAGGGTGGGGGGGGCACAAGGTGGGATTGTGGGGCTCAACAGTGCCAGAAAACCCCTGGTGTGGGGTTTGGGTGGTAGACTGGAACCACTGGGTCACTGGAGAAGGTTTCTTGGATGCAATGGTTAGAGCTTAGAAATTAAGGCAATTTAGCCCTGCCTCATCCAAGCCAGCAAACAGCCCCACACCAGGGTTAGGGGTGAGGATGCTCTGGAGTGGTCCCTCACAGCCCCTCACCACCCCACAGGGACCCAACCAGGGCACTGGGGACCACACAAAAAATCCCCACCCACGGCCTCACCCACCTCCCCTTGGGCTGGATGATGCTGTGGCTGGGTTTTCCAGGGAGGGATGCACAGGCAGGATTGCGTGGCTGTGGCCCTGGGCTGGCTCCCCAAACAGCGCTGCCACGCTGCTCTTCAGCGGCTCTGTTCTATCATCGAATTTTAATTTAGTTAGTTGAGTTCTTTAAACAGTGTGAACTTGCTAAGTGCTTTGCATATTTTATACTCATGAGTAACATTTATCAAACAGAAAGTACAATTAATCAAAGAGGGGAGCATTTGTAACTTGGAGCAGTTTGCATTCTCTCTCTTTTCCTCCCTGCTGTACCTTTGCTCTGTTTCTTCCTCCTCTTCCTCTCCACTGCCCTGCATTGGCCAGGGAGCCAGGAGGGCTTGAGTGTGATCTACACATGTGCACACACACATACATACTCCTCTCTCTCCCTCTTCCCCCTCACCAAAACATGTACACCATACAAACATATAAAAATGGTTTTTATATTATGTATGTATCTATCTATATCTATATCTATATCTATATCTATATCTATATCTATATCTATATCTATATCTATATCTATATCTATATCTATATCTATATATCTCTGTACCTATATATATGCATGTACCTATATCTAGCTGTCTATCTGGTATACAAATATATATAGTATATAGTATATGGTATACAAATATATATATGTATATAGTATGCTGTATATATAATATATGTAGGAATAAATGGTCCATTTACACTATATACATATATATGCATATATACATATATACATATATACACTATATACATATATATACACACATATGTACATAGTTATATTCACATTATGCACACATTGTATTTATATATATATATATTTCTATATATATTCATTATACCCATTATCTACTAGCTGCAGTATATAGTCCACCACATCCATTATACTACATATAATAAATATATTTTTTCTATTTTGGGCTGCTGTTGGGGTCAGCAGTGTTGGTGGTGGTGCTGCAGCCTCCTGACAAGAGCCAGCAGCCAAGGGAGTGAGGTGGGATGGACAGTCCCAGCCCTGAGCCGTGCTGGGTGCTCACCTGGCCAGCAGAAGTGCCTGAACAGCTCCAGACTGTTTGGGGACAGTGACCAGTGGCTGGTGACAGGGACATGGGAAGCCCTGACAAGGGCAAGAGTGTGGCTGCAGCCTTTCAGCCCAGGTCCCCTCTCTTCGCTGGATGAAGAGATGATGGTGGATGAAGGATGAGGTGCAGACCAGGGGTTGCTTCTGGAGCAAACAGCAAAGGGACAATGACCTCTGTTCCCAAGGCATCTGTGTTTAAGGGCAGAATCACCCACACCATGTCAGCTTTTGGCTACAAAGGCCCCTGGGGGGCTCCTGCTGGTACCTGGAGAAGGACTGACAGCACTGCTGGAACATGAGAGGTGACAAAGGGACCAGTGTCTCTGTGGTGTCTCTGAGTGCCTTGGTGGCTCTTGGCAGAGCATGGAGAAGCCCTGACCTAATTTATTCTGACTTCCCCAAGCCTTTGCCATGGCACAGCAGAGATGGCTAAAGGAGCTGGGCAAACTCAGACATGGGAGCAGGTTGAACCCTGCTGCCAAGGCAGAGCAGAGGAGATGGGAACATCCCATGCGGTTCCCAGGAAAGTACCTGAGGGCTCTTCCCATGGCCTTGGAAGCTTCAGTGCTCTATGAACTGCCATTAATGGCAGCAAACGGGCAGGAGGTGCCCACCTGGACCCGGGTTAAACGGCACGGAGGGAAGGGCCGTGCCAGCACTGCAGGACCTGCCTTGCAAATCACCTGCAACAACATGTGCCATCCTGGTCACCTCTTCTCAAAAATGATAGTGCAAAATTAATTAGAATTAATTAATCAGAAAAGGGTAATAAGGGTGATTAAGCACCTGGGGAAAAAAAAAAAATATTCCTGAAGAGCAATTGCAGCACCATGATTGCCTTGGAAGGTGGCGAGTGAGTGGGAGCAGGAGGGAGGGCGTGCAAAGAAACAAATGGGCTGGAGAGAAGGGTCTGGGGGGTGTTTTCTGTCTTGTCACACAAGGAATTACTGAGTGACAAGATTGAAACCCGTCAGAGGAAAAGCATTTCCCAGCAGCAGTGACCACGGGGAGGCAGCTGAGCTCGGGAAGGCACGGGCGGCTCTGCGGCGTGGCTGGAGCTGTGGCTGTTGCTGCCACTGTCTTTTGCAGATTTGGCTTTGCACAAACTGGCCCCAAGGTTGGACCTATCTCCAGCAGGAGTGGGACTCAACAGGGAATCCTCAGTGCTGGGACCCTCATCCCCAGCTGGGCTCAGAAACATGGCAAGCTCAGGGATGCTCAATTTAGTTTTCCTTTTAATTTTCAGCCACACTCTGTTGCCTTAATGAAATTAATAACAATAATAATATAAAATCAAAGGAAACATTTGCAAACAAGATCTGCCCCTGAGCTGAGGCAACTGCTGCAGGTTTCATTGTAACCTGAGGGGCCAAAGCAGAGCCCCAGCCCCTGGAGGGGATGGGAGCACCATTCCCTTCCAGCCATCATGAAGGGTTTTGGCAATAGGGAAGGATGGAGGAGATGGCTGGGGCTTAACAGAAAGAGTCTTCAGGATCCCCAGTGCAGCTCAGTGAAATAAAGGATAAAAGTGCCTTTTGTTAGCAGCAAATACTGCAGGCATCATGGAAGGTATGTGGCATGGATGGGATGCAGGTGTCCAGTGCCTGCTTGAAAACACAGGTGAACAATGTAGTGGCTGCTGGCAGCTTTGGTGAGGGGAAAACTGGTGGGTTTGGGTCATTCAGGTGCCTGTGCGTGGGGACACTCAGCCCCATGCACCTCCCAAACACCCCTCCTGCCTGTGAGCAGCGAGGTGCCACCACTCTGTGCTCAGAGTCTCCTCCCTGGTGACAAAGAGCCTTGTTTCTTTAAAAGCTGAAAAACAAAGTGGGGTGCAAGCAGTGTTTTTTGTGCACAGAGATAATCTTACTCTGTTCCCTGCTCTGCAGGTGACTAAAGACACGCTCCTGGTCTGGGCACTCAGCCCCCAGCTCAGGTCACTGCTGTCCCCAGCACACCCAGGTCCTTTCACAGGGACTCAGGGGACCTGGGGGCCCAAAAACTGTCCCAGGCTGATGTTTGCTTGCCCAGAGATGGGGACTCCCTTTCTGCCTATGTTCCTTGGAAGGATGGCAAGAGGCTCTGTCTCTGAGGCCACATCCTGGTTGTGGCGTGGATTTCTGGATGTCCGTGGGGTGAGCAGCTCTGTTTTGGGGTCAGCAAGACCTTGTTAGGGCCATTAGGACATTTTGGGAGAGGCGACCACTGGGAATGGGCCCTGCTCTCCCTGTGCCCATGCAGCACTGCCCTTCTGGCCACTGCCCTCTGACAGCTGTGATGAGGCAGCAGGCCTCAGCTCCCGGGCAGGGGAGGGCACGGCAGAGCTGGAGAATGGAGCAATGGGGTCAGCGCCCGCGCTGGGCACAGGGTGGGCACAAGTACGGGAAGGGGCCGGTGCTCAGGGGTGTCAGTCGGTACCGGTGTGTCAGTACCGGTGTGTCGGTACCAGGGACCGTCGGTGCTGGGTGTGCCGGTACCAGGGGCTGTCGGTGCTGGGTGTGCCGGTGCCGGGTGCGTCGGTACCAGGGACTGTCGGTGCCGGGTGTGTCGGTACCAGGGACTGTCGGTGCCGGGTGTGCCGGTACCGGGGCACGAGCCGGTCCCGCTCCCCTCAGGACATACCGAAGTTCCCGCGGCGGCGGCGGCGCAACGGCGGGACAACAGCGCCCCCTGGCGAGCAGGACGGGACACGGCGGGAGGGGACGGGACGGGACCGGGACCAGGACAAGGACCGGGACAAGGACAACGGCGGGACAGGACCAGGGCAGGAGCAGAAGCCGGAACGAGGACACGCGGGCAGGACTCTCCCGCAGCTACTTGTTCAGGCGACCCCGGGTCCCGCCACCCCGGTGCCAGCCGGCTGGGCTTCCGTGGCAGCTTGCCCCTCAAGAACCGCGCGGTGACCGCGGGCTCCCCTTGGGCTGCCCGGTCCGCCCCAGTCCTCCCCCGCCTGTTCCAGTCCATCCCCGTCCGCCCCTGCCTGTCCCAGTCCATGCCAATCAATCCCAGTCCATCCCAGTCCGTCCCAGTCCGCCCCCGCCTGTCCCAGTTTGTCCCAGTTTGTCCCAGTCCGTGACAGTCCATCCCAGTCTGTCCCAGTCCGTCCCAGTTTGTCCCAGTCCGTCCCACCGCTAACCACCCCCGCGCCCCGCCCCGGAGCGCCCCCTGACGGGCAGCACAGGGAGAGCGGGGCAGGGCCCGCGTGTTCCGTCACAATGACGTCACAACCACGGCGCCGCCTGGTTGGTCCCCGCGGCTGCCCGTCCCGTGGGGGGGGCAGCGCGCGGCCGCCGCCGGAGGTAACGGGGGGGCCCGGGGGTCACGGCCGCGGCCCGAGGGAGCGGCGGCACCGGGCACCCCCCGGCTCCGCCCGGCACCCCCCACACGCCTCTCCCCGGGTCGCGACCGCGGGGGGGCCGGGAGGGGCCAGCGGAGCTGTCCGGGCCGGATCCGGGGTAGGGCTGCAGCCGGCGGCCCGCGGGGTTCTCAGCGCCGCGGGCCTGGAGCGCGGGGGGGGCTCAGCCCCGATGGGCGGCAGGCGAAAGGGCCGGGTCGGTCCTTACAGCGGGGACCGCCCCCTCGCACCGCCCGGGGCTGCTGTAACACCCCGCGGGCCCGGGATGGGATCCCCGGGTGCTCCCCGGCGGTACAGCCACCTCCCCCTCGGCCCGCGAACCCCCTTCCCCTGCCGCTCCCCGGCCTGCGAGCGGCCCCGGGGCTCGGGCCCAGGGCCCCACACGGCGGTGTCCCCCCCACGCTGTGTGACCTTCTCCCCACGGCTGCGGCGGCCGTGGGGCGAGGTCTGGCCTTCCCCTGCCAGCACTTCCGCGGGCACCGGCCGCGTTCCGGGGGCTCCTGGACTGCAAGAAGGGTTCGGGTTCAGGTTTAGGTTTGGCTTAGGGGGACTGGATGCTCTGTCTGTGCTGGTAGCCTGTGACACCGTGAGAAATGAGCCATCAGGGACTCGCCAAGCCAAACCCAGGCTAAGGAATGGGGTCACTGCCGGGAGGGTGAGCCTGGGAACCAGCCCTTGAGATCAGAAAGGAGCACTGCTCAAAGTGGAGCCAGAAGCCTCCATGCACTGCCTAAACTCGTGGTGCAGCCTCGGAGCTAAGGGGCAGCAGCAGCTCCTGTCCCCCAGCCTCGTCTGTGGGGCTGGGGTGTCTCTTACCTGTGGTTTCCTGGGGCCACGGTCACACTTATGGGACTAGACGGGTGATTTGGCACTTAAATCTCATCTTCTCTGCTCCTAGGTCACAGCTCAGACCAGCTCCTGGCACCACTGAGCCAAACTGGATTTCCACCGGTGACCTGTAAGTTGTCATCTCCCCCTTTCCTACTCCTAGGCTGTTTGAGGCCACGTGGAGCCACCAGACCTGCCATAGAAAACGTTTTGTGTCTAATGGGGTATTTGCCAGCAAATTCCGGCCACAAATTCTATATATTTCTTTATTTGTAAAGGTGTTTGAAGTCCTTGAATTTACCCTTTGGCCACCTTAAATCTAGTTTCTAATCCCCAGCGCAGTTAATCAAATCCACAGTGGTTTGAATTATGAGATGCCTGGGGGGGGATTTATAGCTTGTATTGCTGATTATACCTTGACTTTATTATATTGCAAATATCTAACTTATGGTCACGGCTGAGATTTACAATCCTCAGGTAGGTGCTCAGGATAACTTTTAGCAACTCCAGATGTAATTGGAGGTGACTGATGGGGTTGTCGCCACACATAAACATCTAATCTGTAAAATGTTAAGACAGAAAGGAGAGGCATAATAGGTGAAAAGGGTGGGTCAGCCTTAAAAAATAATCAGATAATTAGGTGTATTGCTGAGCAAGGCTCTGCCATGCCTGTTCTGGCTGAGGCATCTTCTCAGGGAGGGGTTTTGGGCTTGTTGAAATATACCAGAATTTAGGTCTTTGTTCCTTCTTGCTCTCATCTAAAAGTTTTTGGAGTTTGCAGTAGCCCTGGGGAGGGGAAAGGGGTGATAAACAGATGTGGGGTACTGGCAGAGCTGACTCATTCCTCGCTGGTTTGGGATTCTCCCATCCCAGGGGAGCAGTGAGTCCCGTGCGGGCGCGTGCCCTCAGCCAGCATGACCAGCGAGGTGGTGGAGAACGAGTTTGAGTTTTACTCCAAGGCAGAGAAGTACTGGAAGGATGTGCCCGCCACAGTGGATGGCATGCTGGGGGGCTACGGCCACATCTCCAGCATCGACATCAACAGCTCCAGGAAGTTCCTGCAGAGGTTTCTGCGGGTAGGTGGCACAGCTAGTAGTGCTCCAAAAACCCTGCCCTTCTCCCAGTGTGGAGCTGGGCTCTTCCCTCTGAATTACTCCATGGGATCCTCTGTTGCATGCTGGGAGAGCTTCGCCCTGCAGCGGGTTCCCTGCACCCCAGTCCTGCCCTGTGTGGTTGTCCCATTTCTCCTCTGTGGGGACCTTGCAGTGGGGTTCACCCCTCACGGTGGTTGTTGCAGGATGGCCCCAACCGGACGGGGACAACCCGTGCTCTGGACTGTGGGGCTGGCATTGGCCGGATCACCAAGCGGCTGCTGCTGCCCCTCTTCAAGACAGTGGACATGGTGGATGTGACAGAGGACTTCCTCACGAAGGCCAAGAGCTACCTGGGTGAGGAGGGCAGGCGGGTGCGCAACTACTTCTGCTGCGGCCTCCAGGACTTCAGCCCTGAGCCAAACTCCTATGATGTCATCTGGATCCAGTGGGTCATCGGTGAGGGTCACTGCTTGTGGGGTCTTTCCAGCCTGTCCCTTCCCTTGAGTGGCAGGTGCCCTATAAACTGGGGAGAGCAGCTTGAGGTCTGCATGGAGGATGAGCATCGCAGCATGGGTGGGGCCTGGGCTGGGCAGCTGCCTCCCATCCCATGGAGGAGCCCTGTACTTTTTCCCCCAAGAGTCTTTTCTTCCAAGTTCACAGAGGCCAGAACAGAGGTGTGGGTTGGATGGAGTTGAGTAGTGAGACACAAGTTGGACGCCCCCAAGCTAAAACTTTCCCTGCAAATGTCTCAAGTATTTGGCCACTTGGATCAGGAGGGATCCCAAATGCAGCTTCTGAGTTTCCTCCCCTTCGTCACCCTCTGTCCTCTAACCCCTGCTCTGCCCCTCCAGGACATCTCACTGACAACCACCTCTCTGACTTCCTGAAGCGCTGCCGTGCCGGCCTGCGGCCCAACGGCATCGTGGTCATCAAGGACAACATGGCTCAGGAGGGTGTGATCATGGACGATGTGGACAGCAGCGTCTGCCGGGACCTGGACGTGGTCCATAAGATCATCCGCAGAGCTGGGCTGCACCTCCTGGCTGAGGAGCGCCAGGAGAACTTCCCTGATGAGATCTACCACGTCTATACCTTTGCCATGAGATGAGGGCAGTGGGAGAAGGTCTCTCCCATGTCGTGACTCCCCTTCCAGGGGCTGGTGACAAGGACGGGACTTTGTCTTCCAAGTTGCTGCTGTTTGTGAAAAGAGGTGTTTGCCAAATACATTTTCCTGCTGTTGCACTTCTGCACGTGAGGTTTGTCAGATGCATGTTGGCTCTGTGCCACCCTCAGGGGCTCTGGACAGGAGCAAGAGGGACTCCCATGCACGAGGTAATCCATGGGCAGCTGCAGGTTGCTGACTGCAGTGCACAGGACTCCTCATGAACAGGAGCTTGGGGCACCTTTGGATGGACTGGGCTCCATTCTTTGCTCGGGTGTTTGACCCCTTCCTGCTGCTCAGCAGTGAGCTGGGCAAGGCAAAGGGGAGAAGCTTCTGCTGTTCCCCTTTGGTGGTGTGGGGAGGCAGCACTGGGTTCTGGGGCTTTGAGGGGGCCTCACCTTTAAACCCCTGAGCAGATCTCCTACATGGGCAACAAAAAGGGAGGTGTGTGTAACCCTGAGTCCCCCACATCCTCCTCCAGGGATAAGGGTATCCCAAACAAAGCCTTCCAATTTCTGGGAGTGCACTGGTGTTGTCTGAGCTGCTCCCAGACCCGCCCATCACTTCCAGCTCCATGGCTGTGATGCTGCAGCTGCTCCCCCAGCACCCCACACCATCTCCTGGCTTTAAACACTCCCATCTCCTCTTTGGTTATATTCCCGTCATTTACCCAAGTCTGGCCACTGACCCAAGGTGGCCAACACTGGCACAGCAGCGTGCCAAGGGTGAGCCCAGGTGCAGAGTCTGCTGCAGCTCGACCCTCCAGCCGTCCCCCTGTTTCTGTCCTTCAGCCCACTTCTCCTAAGGAAAAACAAGCCCCTGGTGTTATTATAGAAGGCCTCGTTTAATGGTTCAGTTCCCATTCTGGGGCAGAATTTGATCACATTATTGGATTTTTTTAAGCACCAGTTCATCAGGACACACAGTTCCAGTTCCAACTGCCAGTGAATCTCAGATACAAAGTGTCTGTAATCAGAACAGATTCTTCATCTTCTACATCTGTTACCCATGAAAAACAAACCAACAAAACTGTGTGGGGTTCAGCTCTAGCCAGGCTTTGGCATGTCATGAGGAAGCAGGTGCCTAGAAAGGGAGCCAGGCAGATGTGGCAAGGCTGGAACATGAGCCCTGCATGTGCAGCAATTTCTTGTTCCTGGGAAGGAGGCACTGAAGAAGATCCTGGGAGTGGTCACCAATGGAAAGAGCCAAGGAATGGGGAAGGAGGCACAAGGCACTCAGCTGCTGACAGCCCATTCCTCATCCTTGCACAGGGAACACACCATGAAGTCAGGAAACATTCCACTGTGTGTTTTGGAGCCCAGTAACTCTCAGATATTCTTGGTGGATGGTCCTCTGTGCCAGGATGGGGTGCAGAAACTCAGAGGGTGTGAAGCAGTCCAGCACCGTTGCCAGCCCCGCTTCCCCTCACTCCCATTCCCAGTGTCAGAAGTCCACACTGAGCAAGGAAGGCATCCACATCCACAGGATGATGCTGGACCCACTTCCACCACCAGAACCAGAGGCAGGAAAGCCAGAACACCTCTTCCTTCTCCCAGCACCCCGAGGCATCTCTCAACTCCACTGGACGCCTAAGGCACTGCATCACCCACCCACGGCAGGGCTGGGAGACAGGGGACAGGCTGCTTGTCCAGTCACAGCCCCCAACCCACTGATTCTGCCCCCAGGCCTTTGCTTAATCTCCCTCCAAACCAGCCCCAGTAGCCAGCTCCCCCATGCCCAGGAGCTCTGCCTGCCTCCCCATGACGTGCCCCAGAGCAATGAGACCTTAACAAATACGTGTGACGTTGTGCCCAAGAAAACCCTGGGAATGCCACAGAGAGGGACTCGGGCAGCACCTCTTGCTGCAAACTGTCTCAGAGCAGAGACATGCTGGCTGTAGGCACAGCAGGACTGGGGAGGGAGCAGACAGAGGCACTGTCAGGCTCACAGGTCCTCATGCCCAGCAGCAGCATGGTCAATGCAGAGGTACCACTTCAGCCGGTCTGGGAGAGGCAGAGCTTTGATTTTGTCATCCACTGGCCACGGTTTCAGGCACTGCCGGATGAACACCTTGCAGAGGTGTTTCAGTGCCTGTGGCGAGCGCTCCAGCTGCTTCAGAGAGCAGAACAGAGTCTGAACCTTCTCCCCATAGAACCTACAGCTGCTGGTGTTCACCTCAAAATTACTGGGCAGCTGGATGGCTTGTGAACTGGCCATCATGAGCTCCAGCAGAGTCTGACCCTTCTGGATGAGATCTGTGAAATAGGTTTCATCTTCAGAGCGACTGAGGTGCCAGCAGAGGCGCTCAAAGGCGATGTGGAAGCCGGACCAGCACGAGGGACCATGGAGGGAGCAGTTGTAGGCAGCACCTGACTCCAGCAAGAACCGCAGCATTGGGAAGTAGTCTTTGAAGCTTTTTAAGCAGAAGTGTGTGAGGGACTCTGAGGCTGGGCACTCGCTGGGGTTGGCACCGTGGGCCAGCAGCAGCTGCGTGACACGGAAGCAGAAGTGCTCGATGTCCTCGGCCTGCTCCTTGGTGTAGCTGAATACCATCTCTCCCAGCAGGTAGATGACATAGGTGAAGACAGTGTCACCATCTTTGGTGGCAGCCCTGACATCCGCACCTGCAGGAAGGGACAAAGAACATAACTGACACCGCAGAACTGTGCAGTGAGGAGCTGGTGAAGCCAGGCCAGCACCAACTCCAGCACCCCTGGGCTTTACTCTGATCCAGCAGGAACATAATGGAGTCAGGAGGGCAGTGCCTGGTGCTGCACAAAGAATCAGCCAGCCCAGAAAGGGGAGAAGGTTTTCTTTACCTCCTTCCAGCAGGAGACGGATGTTGTCGGTGTTGTGGATCTGGCCACTGTTACTGCTGGCCAGGGCATGCAGCAGTGCTGTCTTCCCTGCAACAGAGCAATCAGTCAGCCACAGGACAACAGGGTGACACCCCAAAAGGCAGGAAGGAAAACAATCCACCCCACCCACCAGACAGCCTAACACAGGCGTGACAACCCTTCTGGCAGAGGCTTCCACTGTCCTCGTGATGGTACCCAGCTGTGGGGACAGTCACAGGCTACATGTGCATGGCTGGTGGTGGCCTCAGTGGGTGTATGTGCCACAGCAGAGTGAGTTTTAGAGTAAGTGGACACCACAGGACAACAGAGGCACAGCCCCATCCCACCTCCCCTGGACTACACAGAGCTAGGTTCAGCCCTTTTCACACAGCCAGCACACCAAGAGAAAAAAGACTGAGCACAGGGAGGTTGCACCAGCTTCCTCCCAACTCCCAAACCTGTCTGTAAGGAGCTAGCAGGTACAGCAGCAAATGGCCCCACCCCTGTGCCCTGCCCCAGCCCACCCTCGGCTGGGGGAGCTGGGTGGGGCGCACGCACCGTTCTTGTCAGCAGCGTTGACGTCAGCCCCCAGCTGCAGCAGCCGCCGCAGGCATGGCAACCGCTCGGGCTCCTCGCTGGCCAGGTCCAGGGGGCTGCTCTCATGGATCTGCAGAACAGTTAAAAACACTGGTAGGTATTACAGACTGACTATTGAGTGATTGCAGGGAGTCGCTGTTGGGGCTTTATCTTGGCCACAGTAAGAGTGTCTCTGCAGCCTCCTCCCACACATTGCTCCAAGGCAGGGGCTCAGCCAAAGGCAACTTGACCTTCTGCCACAGCATCGAAGCACTACAGACAGCGGGCACAGGGATGTGCCAAGGGGAGGGCAGCAGGAGGGCTGTCCCCACACACCAGAGCAGCTCAGGCTTGGGGGGCTCAGCCTGGCTGTGCCCAGGCAGCAAAGCCGTACCCGGTCTCGGCGGTTGATGTCGGCGCCGTGGCGCACCAGGAGCTCCACCGCGTCCAGCTGGTTACGCAGCACCGCGATGTGCAGGGGGGTGTAGTAGGTGATTGGGTCTGAGGGTAAAAACAGTCAGAGAGAACAAAGGGCTTCCCCAGAATGGCCCCAGCACCTGCCAAGAGTGGAAGAGGACAGCTGGGGAGGGTCCTGGGAGCACAGTGGTGCCTGTGAAAACAGGGCTGTCACAGGCACTCCAGGCCCTGCTGTTCCAATGGTTCCATCCTGCCAAAAGCCCCCAAGTCCCTGGTGTCCCTCAGTCCATCCTTGTGGCTGGGTCTCCACGAGACATACACACTACTCCAGCAAGGAGCAGGAGTGGTCTGAGCTGGTAGCATCCCCTCTTTCTGCCCCAGCTATCCCCACCTCCCAGGGCAGCTTCTCATCCGCTGGGTCCTCCTGGTCCAGCCTCCTTCCCACCAGTCTCACCTTCAAAGCTGAGGTCAGCACCAAATTCCAGGAGGATTTCTGCAGCAGGGACAAGCCCCAGCTCGCTGACCTTCAGCAGGGCATAGTTTACACATTCCTGATAAAATGGGGAGTGGGTCTCCCTCTCCAGGACTCTTCTCACAGCTGAGAGCTGGCTCCTGTCACTGTCCAGGCAGGCAGGGCTTAAGAAACACAAAAACCCAGCAGTTACTCAGTGAACATAGCTCAGGTGTGCAAGGGTCAAAGTGGCACCAGGGAAGAAGGAAAATCCCTGGTCCTGTACCCAGTGGGTCTCCAACCTGGTTGTGGGGTTACAGAGCAGCTGAACACCAGCTTAGGCTTTGTTGCCTGGGGTCAGGCAGAAAGGGCTGCTCCTGGAGAGCACCCATAGTTCCTGCATTTGCCTTGCTTCACCTCCACGTTCCCAAAGAATAGCAGCAGGAGGGTCTGTGGGATGAGCTGCTCCCCAGGACTGGGGGCTGTCCCAAGGCAATGTTGTCCAACCTTGGCCACATCCCTGGGCTCCAACCATCCCCCAAAACCACCCTGGGGTGTTCAGCCCCTGCTGTTACCTCTCCAGGGAGCTCTGCCTTTCCATGTCGGGTGTGGCCAGCAGCCCCAGGAGCTCATCCACCAGGGGCTGGTACTCCAGGACGATCCTGCGGAAGCCGTGCAAGAAAGGCATCGTGCTCTGCCCGTGCACACCTGCCCGGGGGCCTCCAGCACCCAGGCCCCCTCTCCAAGGGGATTCTCCCTCCTTTCAAAACAAACAAGGCTTTCAGCAGGTTGGGATATAGAAG